AGAAACCGTTTATAAAAGAAACAGTATACAGTATAGTACCAATTGAACACTGACTGCCCGCTGTTTTAACATCAAATGTACATTAATAACCATATTGAAGTGATATATATTGAAACGTGTTGAAAGTTACTGTACTTTATTTTTAAATGATACTTGAAATCGTTCAACCCTTAATCTTAATAGTGAACATGTGTTTTCTCTCATAATATTTCAGTATTGGTTCTTATCTACAGAGCTTTCTGACTCAACTGCAGTGTACAGTTATCTTATTTAAATGATTTGGCGCAAGTTAGACATTTAGGAATTATGAACAAAATGCCTATTGAAACTCTTGAATGTTCAAGGTCAACACATCTGTAGGAAATCCTTGAATTAAAGACCGAACAATGAAATAGCAAAGGTCAAAATGACGTCAGTTGTACCTGATGTTCACTTACAACATTGAAAAGCAAAGGACAACAAACAATACGTAATGTACTTAATTTGCACACTTCACTGAAGTAAATTATGAGGGTCAACCAACACATTACGTTAACTGTACGTAATGTACACATACAACACTGAAACAGCAAAGAATAGCCAGCTGTAGCTGGAAAAAAGCCCTGTAGCTGTATACAGCCCTGAAACGTATAACGTCGTCTGTGTCTAATAATGTAAACATATGACACTGAAATTGTATGGGCAGCCAACATATAACGTCAATGTACTTCGCATGCACATAGAATGCTTCATTATAAGTATGATAACACATGTGAGTTGTGTTTAAATCATACCATTATCAGTTAAACTTTGTCCCTAAAAACATATACTTGAATTTTAGAAATGCATTCGATATCAGAATGTGTAAGATTCAATTCGCTTGGTTTTATGTTAGGTTTAAAAGCAAAGACGCTCCAATATAACGTTATATAAATATCAATAATGAATTTTTTGTCAGGAGGAAAGTATCGATCTGGAGATGAAAATATGTAAGGAAATCAAAATACACATAAACTTCTTGTCGAATCTTCCTTAGAAGTTTTCTTTGATGCTTGCTTTTCTATTCTAGCGATTGACTTATAAGGCCTGATACCTGATAGATAAGATAATTGAATACGTAAATAAATGATAGAATAGGTTTGTGTCTGAACTAGGAACTCATCTGTCTTGATTTGATTTAATTAATTTGGAAGACATTGTTTTTTGTCTTAGTTAATTACATCAAAAAGTCGAAATTTTCAAAAAATTGATTAGGTGCATTCTGGCACATAATTTGGTTCAAAAACGTATATAAATCATATTTTTAAATTTGTTAATCCAAAGGCCGCCACTGATTGCACATTCAGATATCACGCCTGGGTAACTGTGTTGGGCTAAAATAGTCGGGCTCATAAAGCAAACGGAAATCGTATTTCCACTTCAGTCTTATCTAACTTGCTGAGCCATCTCGGTTCCCAATAGACATCCAGGATCAGAGCAGCAACTTCATATGAGAACAAGGTGACACAGTAAAACATTTATTACATAATGTGTTTATTTCTGTCACATTCGCATCGTCCCTGGGCAAAACACATCCTTAATTGCTACATATATAGGATTAAGCATATTAATATTAATATCAGTCAACGATTGATAAATATTCATTCTTACCTTTGTATAGTGTTTTTTATTTATCCATTAAGAAGTGGTTGTAGCAAAAAACATATCATTGCAATTACGAAAGCACAGACCGAGCTGCTACAGGTAATTTTTGAGTATCTGTCTGTGTAGGTACTATTAGAAATGGAGAGACATCTAGGTCAGTTAATGGTATAAATTGGTACCCTACAGCAAGATACCAACTAGCTGTATACAATGGTTTTATTAGTCAATAGTCAACAGGTTGTATTTGTCCTCCGGTAATCCTCTTTAGGCTAATATAACAGATTAATGTATTATTAAGTCGTTCTGCTACATTAATCTTAACACCCTCAAATATATTTAAACTTGATTTGGCTTTAACAATAGATCCAATTGTTTCAAGGGTTGCTCCTTGTCATAGGGCCTTGGTTTATTAATAACTATACTATACCATAAGGTGTGGATGAGTGATAACCAAGGGGATATTGGAGATCTTTTTCGGAGTTTGTGCTGTCGTCTTTCTGAAAACTGCTTTCTTTTTAAGGGACAGATTTGCCATTTTGTGGGGTTGATTTAAGTCTTTGGTGTAAAGTCCTAAAAATGTACGAAAATCGCAAAATTCCTTCAAAATATCTCAAACTAGGTATTTCTTTTCCTATTTCTATAGATGTCTTTCCTATATATGACAGTGTCTCGAGAAAAGACCACTCGTCTTTTTAACTTCCAATTCTGGACACACATGGATTTTAAGGCTCAAATTCCGATGGTGAGCTGTTAACACGATTACTGATAGGCTTAGCTAAAAACAACTCCTGCTTCTGAGACTACGAGGTACGATTGGTAAAAAATGTCGCATCTGTCCCTTTAATGTAATATATAATATATCCTTTCTATAGCAGAGTGAATAGATTTACTATTGCCAATATCAACCAGACAAATCTAAAACCACGACAAAACCGTACTTAGTTTGAACTATAGGGACAAGCAAGCATCTTCAACTGACTTATAGTAATGCTGATTCTCTAATATGAACTACAGTAAACTAAAAGGTTTACGGCTATTTCAATAATTCAAGACAAGGACGGGCTACTTGCAAATTTCGATTTCGTCGCAAATTACTCTAATTTATACTTCACCTCCTAGTATACATGAAAATATACAGGTGAAAATTAGATTAGAATTTTACCTGACTGAAAAGAACGACTCAAATTATGATTATCCTAAAAATTTCAAATTACCCCCTCGTTGGTTATTAACCCCATGTTGAAAATCCCTCATTTAGGAATTAAAGGGTGAGAGCCAACACCGGGCTGACTCTCGAAAGCACTGGGGCAGGCTTCAAAATTTTTTTTACCTTCAGGGGGGATTCGGTAAGGGTGGGGATATTAAAATGATAATCAAAATATTCATAAAGGGAGAGAACTGCAAATTTGTACACAAAATGGGACAACAATGGGTTTACCTATGTGCGCTGTCGGTTAGAAAACTTTACGTAAGGGCAGACAAACCACATATATATATCAAGACAACAATGGATTTAGTAATTGGGTTTTCAATAAATGCTCTCAAATAATGGTATCTGGGAAATCTGGACCGGAACGCATCAATGACTGAAACCAGTTGACATTAGTTGTTTCTGCTTTACTCTCTATCAAATAAATGATTTGGTCGGTTAATCGCATTTGCTAGTAAAATGTTGACCGAATAAGCATCTGCATCATGATTGATTGGCTATCATAATGCATAATCATTACGGACTGAAGCATCAAAAATTCCTTCTCACGGAGAATCAGTCTGTGACGTTATGAATTTTAGGTTGACAAAAGCACAGGCATAGTCTCAGTGGCGGAGTCAGGTTTACGTCCAAGGGGGTGGGGCGAAATATTTGAGGTTGCCCGAATTTCTAACCTAGTTATGAGATTTTTGCCCGAAAAATATGACTTCGGCTTGGCCACTACATAGACTAGGGTTAGTTGTCGAGATTAGCCAGTCTTCAGGGCTAAAGATATTTATACAGTTTGAGAGAGAGTCCAACGAGAAAGCCGCATTACAATGATAATGTATTCCATGTATTCATTATTCTTTTGTATATATATTATGATTATTCTATAAGCTGATATACCATAAAATGTAGTTGTAATATAATGTATAATGGGATTTGATATAAAAAAAACTATATAAGAAAACCGTTGATCCTGCTCATGCGACCACCTTCAATATACGACCACAATTAAGTCCCCCCATGCAACTTTGCAATATAACAAACGACTGATGAGCGACTAAATTCAATTAAGAGGCCATCATAATTGACATTACCTCCCTTGTCACATGGTTTACATACACGCGAGATTGTAATCGTGTAAAATGTTTCTTTACGGGCTGATAGAAATGAAATGAATGGAGTTTTACGTCACGGGCTGATATAATAAATATATTCTAGTACCCGTATCACTTTCATGAAACTTCCGGCTTCGCCAAAATTCAAACAGAAAAGTACCCCGTATAACTCCATTTCATTTCGTTTAACTTCTGATTAAATCAACTGAAAATATCATTTAAACAGGCCCGTTGCCAGACTGAATTGTTCGAACTGGTAAATCATATATCCGAAGGGATGATGCTATTGGTCGCCAGGCAGAATATTTTTGGTGGGAGGTGGAGAGGGTTGGGGGTGCTTTAGTCACAGACCTGCATTTAAATATATGAAAGCACAATTTATTTTATATCTTATCTTTAACAATATATCAATTATATATTAGTCATAAAGCATATCACATGTATATACCACCTAATTAATAGTTATCTTATAATTCAATAAGTGTTTTATCACAACAATGTCAATTATCACAATTTATCACCACGTAACATCATACATTATATCATAACACTGTAAAATACGAGTTTTAACATACAGAGCATGCTTACTTGTCAAAAAGCCGGCAACTGTTGAACGGAAATCGCAATTTATTTATACAGAAAAGATTTTGGTACCCTGTGCAAGTTGTTACGGCTGCAATAATTTGATCAGATTGTTGGCTTCCGTCAAAAATTCATTAAATTATTGGTAACAGAAAAGCGCAAAACGTGCTACTTTGCAATCTATACGTCAAAATGGCAGTCATTTAAAACTCCCGAGAAAATTGTAGCTTCTTTTGATATGCCAACAATAAACCAAGTCAAAATCTCTCGGAGTAGAATGCAAATAGACAGGACATAAAGTTGAGATCTGAAGCACTGGCATGTGTTTGCACCGATCCCAATAAGCTATATAACTTTAAATCTCGACCTCCATGCAATGCGATTAAGGCATTCTCGTCAAGGTAAAACCTTCCAAATATGAGACAAAAAGCATAAGTTACATCACGTATATAGCACAATCATACCGATAAGAACCTCAAGTGTCACACCTCTGTTTGTGTTCGTGAGTTAGAAGGGATTTCTTTAATTTTCTGTTTCTGGACCACTTTGTGCGATACTTTCAAACCCTCATGTGAATCAGAAACACATAATTTGGACTGTTTTCCGTCTGGAGAATCATGGAATGAATAAAAAGATTGGGAGTGATCCGGAGACAGGGGTGGAGATTCGATAAAACCTTCATCAATGCTGGCGCAGGGTAGTCTGGCAGTGCTGTTGAAGCTGACAGAAGATAAATTGGAGCTGCAGAAGGAACTGTAGCTACTCGGTGTAAATAAGCTGTCATCGGAAGCAATACTGTTATATTTTATATGCTTAGGAGTTCCCACAGGAGTGCTACTCGTTGGTTTTGGTGAATCTCTGTTATTATTGACGACGTTTACATTTGGGTGGTTTTGATTCTGTGATCCACAGTTACGTGGATTTGGTTTATCACAGTCATTAGAGTTCAGAATACATGGACTAACTTTGGACTGGTGGTCAAATCCAGAATCGACACTTCCGAATCCACGAGGAATATGTTCCATTATCTTATCACTTTGTATATTTTGATCAGAAGTATTTGGAGACACTGAAGAACATTGTGAAGTATTTTGGGATTGGGAATCACATCCGGTTTCACAAGAAGAATCACTCGCTAGCACATTTCCCGAGGAAGACACATCCATTGGGTCGTTTCTAAAAGCTTTCATTGGAACTGGTTTAGTTAGAGAACGTTTAAGATTCAATGGAACTGTTCTTTTTGAGACCTCATACTGCATCAACACAGCCCGAATTGGATTTGGAGAAGTTGATTTTATGTCCATATTCTCAAATATAGAGGCACTTTTATTGCTTCGATTCCATCCAGTCAAAATAGCATCCGACTGCATGCTGGATCGACGCAAATTTGAATCGATGTCACTGTTTGAACTTGCTTCAGCTTGAGACAGGAGGGAAGGTGATCTGCCAGATGTGGAGTTACCAACAAACATTGAGTTACTTCTGATATTACGTTTAGCAGGAGTGTCTGAAAATGATTCAGCCTTCTGTGTCAGCTGTGACCACGACTGGGCTGAGTCATTCAGAGTCTCTGGTACATCAATGTTGTCACTGTATCTTCTGTATGCATTATGATGTGGTCTGGCGTTCTGAGAGCTGTAGCTCGCACCAGTACATTCCCTATAACTCTGTGTTCGGCGTGGGGATCGTGCGTCCTTGTACCTTCCGTCACTGCTTTGGTTCTCGTAAAAGACTTCCTGATCGGAATCTTCTTGATCGTTTTCTTCCTCAAAAATACGAGTGAGGTGTGAAGAGGACAATCGAGTAGGATTGGATTGCCGTCGATTCTGAAAATATAATGAATAGTTGATTATTACAAAGCAACACATTCCCTTTGGATCAAGTATAAGCAACACCAGTATAAGGAATCAGAAACTATTGTATACTGGTGCTATTTTGGACTATGAAAACACTTATAATTGACTGATGTACGTCAAACATGTACTTCCTATTAATAAATTTTGGAACATGTGCAGTGTGCAATGAGGGAAATGTCTATTATTCACCTCCTATTCCTTTTCAATTTCTATGGTTTATAAAATATCCTCCGCTTTTTACCCAAGTCATTTAAGAAACATACAAGGATGCTGGCGAAATTTACTTCATTGATCACAGCATGCCGTTGGCTGAATTCATAAGCCTTATAAGATGTAAAAATTAGAACATAAAAGTCCATATATATAAGATATACAAATTAATTTTATCTTGACTCATCACAAATTTAAAACATTTGTTATAACATCATACAAAACACCATCTTATCCTTTGTAATTTTCATCTACATAACTTCTACTGTGTACTTTTCAATGTGTTTTGTAAGCAGCATTTTATTTATTTGTTATGGCCCTGACAATGATCTCAGCTGGGGTTTTTATGCTCTGTCTACTGAAACTAGTTGATGAAAAGACGATATCCGCCTTCGTGTCAGGAGAGCTTGGTGACATGCACACAAATATATACTTTCTATACACCCCATCTACATTATATCAATAACGTCCTGATAAAAACAAGCCAGTAACAAGTTGAAAAGTAAATTATTTTATGTTTAAACAGGTGAATAATAGTTTGATTTAAACCGTGCATGGTGTTTGCTTGTCAGAAAATATATTTCTTTTTTGGCTTTACTGAGAAACAATTAAATCGACGTTTTGTTTCATATTTCACTTGACTTGATACATTCATTCTTTCTGTGAATATATATACGTAACAGAAAAAATACAAGTTAATTTGCATTACTATGATGCTAGAAAAATCAGCACACAGGCATCAGGGCAACATCAACTTTTGGATTAATAATTACCAAATGATACCAACACCAAACATAAGACCATCATCAACCATAAGACCATCACCAAACATAAGACCGGCGCCAGCAATAGAAAACCTCAGTAATGATGTCAATATCAACATTTGGAAAAATCAACATAGGTATTGAGATCAACACCACCAATGAGATCAACATCACTAATGATATCAACACCAGCAATGAGATCAACATCACCAATGAGATCAACATCAGCAATGAGATTAAAATCACCAATGATATCAACGCCATCAATGAGATCAACAGCAGCAATGAGATCAACATCACCAATGAGTTTAAAATCACCAATGATATCAACGTCATCAATGAGATCAACAGCAGCAATGAGATCAACACCTGCAATGAGATCAACACCAGCAATGAGATCAATACCACCAATGAGCTTTACACCAGCAATAAGGAACATCACCAATGAGATCAACATTAACAAAGAGATCCACACAAACAATGAGATCAACACCAACAATGAGATCAATACCAGCAATAAGGAACACCACCAATGAGATCAACACCAGAAATAAGGGACACCAGCAATGAGATTAATATCAACGATGAGATCAACACCAACGATGAGATCAATACCAACAATGAGATCAACATAAAAAATGAGATCAACACCAACGATGAGATATATATCAGCTATCAAATCAACACGGCAATGAAGTCACTATCATCATTGAAACAAAATCGCAAAATGAGGCCTCCACGATCTATGAGACTAGCACCAGCGATGAAACCTTATATCCTAAGTGTACACAATTCGGACAATGATAGATTACAAAATACAACGAAAACTTTTGCAATAAGAATAGCTAACAGGACAAAACAGCAACTAAAGCTAAGGAATAACAAAGTACACAATTTGAAAACAATACAAATAAGAACCACTTTCAAAGAATTTACGGAAACTGCACTAACAAAAGAAATGAATGACAAAAGAATTAAATTCGGCTGGTTGTGCATTTTACTGCTAATGATAAGGACATTCAAGACCCCGGCTGTTTCAAGATCTTCAAGTGCACAACCTGCAGAGCAAACATTGACCTCGTTGTAAAATGCAAAAAGATACGCCATCTTCCTATCGACATAAACGTTAAAGATAAAGTATAATATTATCTGAACTTAGGGTCATTATTTTCATACCACTGAGCAATTGGTTCGCATTATAACAATTTGTGTTGCTGTGTTCTCTTTATGGGACAATAAAGTAGACATTCACAGCCCAGAAATCCTTTTAAGTCGCTGTTGGAGATACCCCAGTGGTCTTCTCACGTCATATGACACCATACCACAAATTCACGAAAAATCTTATAAATATTTACGAGAGTATAACAGTCGTATTAAACACTGTGGGTAGAAAATAAGGTATTTAGTACAGGGATCAAGGTATCAGAATCTAGAGGTGTACAAATCCGAGGACTGCTGCAACGATTCCTTACTTTTACGCCCGACATTCATGTTTGCTTTCCCAATTTTGAAACTTTTAGTATAGAATTGTATCCTAATTAATGGTGCATTTAATCATTAATTGTTTTAAGTTTTCAACTTAAATTCTCCTTGTCCCTTCTATGAGTTATTTATAAACGCCTGAATCAGTATATATCATCAAAATAGATATGAAATATAGTTTATCATTAACATTATCCGCCTATGATTGGCAAGTCTTAGATAAGTGTTGTAAACGATGTTCATCAGTGAATGACTGTGAAACGGTCTACCTTTCTGCAATCAAGAAATGAGTTTGGACATGCTTTGATTGGTTTAGAATAACATCATTAGAACTGGACTGTACTAGTAAACTTGTAACAATGGAGACGAAATATATTAGAAAACAAAGGAGCGAAATTGTAATATAATTGAAATTAGAATGACATTTCTGTTCCTGTAAATGAGACAAAGCTGGAGTATTTTTTCTACAAAGGAAAAATAAGGACCCGAATGAAATATGTAACATGAAAAATAGTTTTACATCAAATTCTTCCTTACCTAGTGGAGAACGCCATGCAGTGTACAATACAATGAAAAACAAATTGGAAGAAATAGCTTACTCTCTTTCATTTTCTGTCAAGGTGTGTTATTAGGTTTCTACATTGTCACTTTAAATGACATGTTGTTACGCTTTGTAATTCTTTGGCTCGTGTGACCGGTTCAAATATTCACCTTCTTACAGAATTATTATTATAAAACATTCTAATGACCCCAATAAGAGGACAAAGGTCACATACAGCTGTCAACGAGGACTTCTTATATATCTAATCGCTTTAAACCAAGACCTAATTGGTCTAAATCTTTTCAAGTCACACTATGTCAGTAATTGTATTAATGACCACAAAAATCCTTTCAAAAAATATAATTAGTGTTCGAGAAAAATATTTACCAAATTTAGGTAAGGGACTCCAATTGATCCATTATAATGACAATACAGTTACTTTATAAGACGAGATCACAATGATAATCATGCAAGCATTACCCTTGATGCAAATTGGACGTATAGCAAATGCTTTATATAAGGTCTGTAAAGCAATGGTATAACCTTGCTTATATAATAAATAAGCCGATCTGGATGCTTGAGGTTTAGTTTCCGTTTTCTTTTCTGTGAATGTCTTAACATGCCATGCATGATCTGACAAAATGTTTAAGCAGTACATGTTCCTAGTTATTTAGATATCTAATCAAATGCTCTGCTAAATTAAAGATTAACTATGGGATATTCATTATTCATTTAGCAGCGTTTGTTTGACTGGCTTAAAATTGAGTCAAAATTTGAACTATAGGCACGATTTGCAGAAGAAATTTGTCGGATCATGAATGACTAGTGTATGAACCCATAGAAAATAGAGCCATTCGAAGCATTTAGACTGCTGTGTACATAACATTAATATTTTTTCCATTATATAGTCTCAAAACATACATCATAAGAATTTTTATTTGATCACCCTATTTTTAAACGTCTGTATGATACATGATTGCTTTAAGCCAACTGATAGTATTGACTGTTGTTTAATAGATGATAAATGAATTGTGGTTTTTTAATCCTGTAATTTTAACAGAAGAATAACCTCATTGACATCTGAAATGATTGATAATTATATATTAAATTTCTGTTCACACAATATGTTATGTATACTTAGACTTGGGCTAAAATATTTTATTTCCAATCTACTTAAATTTTTTCTTTTTTATTATCTTATCTAAATGTTTAAACTTGATTATATAAAATTTGCAATTTTTATGGTAAATAGAGTAGGTGGCAAAGAAAAACGTTTAGATTTTCATTTTAATCCGAAAAAGATACATACATTTCTTAGACCAAAGTAAAAGTAATACTGTATTTCGAAAGTAAGAGGCAGTTAATCGCATTTTCGACTGTAAAAAGTTCTCTTTGAACGTACCTATACGCTGCCATGCATGTTAAATATCTTCACATTGTCAAACTATTGTGAACTTCGTCTTATACCTTGACTACAATAGTCACCTTTCTTGTATCACGGAATGCAGTGATTTGATTGTATTCTTGTGAATACAGCCAATGACAGCCCCCGATCGAAGGCCTATAAACCTTAAGTCATAATGTTTACATACTTAAATGTCGGGGGCTCTGATTGGCTTGCTCTAGCGTGCAATCCAACCAAATCTCTGCATTCAGTGATACAAGATAAGTGGGTATTGCAGTCAAGGTATTAGTCGTTAATCGTAATAGATTGACATCGTAGAAATGATAAGTCGGTAGTTAAACGTTTCCTTAAAATACACCTGATATAAATTGCCATGTTGACTATCTAAATGATATACTATTGAAATATGTTTAATCATGACTTAAAATACCTCAACCAAAGAACTGAGTACTTGACAAAGTCGAAACACGACCCAAATGACTTCTTATTGACACGTGCATACCACACACTAATTATTTGCTATTTCTTTCAAGTTGTTATTATGACATAGCCAATGGAAATAACAAAAACAAAATTCTACTCGTCGTTGCGTACACTCCTTGTAACTCCAAAGTCATAAACCCTTTTTGAATAAATAAATTCTTTTCAAAAGGGCTGAATACGAAACTTGAAATTAAAATAGGAAAATAAGGCAATAGTCAGCCATTACAACTGTAATTCAATTAAATAGTACATTTTCTCTGGAAATTTGGTCAGTCAAATGTTATTTGACAGGTAAACAAATATGCAAAAATGTTTCGTTTACTAAATAAAATGGTGTCTTCATATAAACGGTCAGGTCACGTACAAATATCATTTAAAAAACGAAACAAATAGAAAATAATTATGATCCTACATGTTAATGCGATGATGTTATGAAATAGAAAAATCGTTCTTATATCAATTACGACTAAAGTACAAAAAAGGTACTAATAAGTCACTAATTAGTACATAATGTAAGAACCAATCATATACTAATAAATACTAATAAACCGTATGGTCTGAAAATTGATTTACCTAGTTTTGATCAGTTGTATTGTTAACAGCAGACATCTGTTACCTTAGCATTCCCAGCAGATCAATTAAGAACCATAATCGATTACTGACAAAGAAAACTCATTTTTCATCATAGCCAGATACCTGCTGGACTTCACCATAAGCTTGTGGTTCCATTAAATAAACATTCAAATCAACGAAACCTAGTTGATATACCCAATCGCAAGTGGTTACAAGTGTAAGACAAGACTCTAGCCACATTATAGTTGAGCTCAAATTCAACAAAGCCTTGGGCATAAAGCTGATAAAAGTTCAATAAGCAAAAATCAAAATGACTTCACTCGAAGTCGAATTACATTTAGAACCAAATTTTCAATACTAAGACAAAATTTGACAGAGGTCAGCAAGTAAACTTAGAGGTTCACAAAAAATCAAACTCAATCTATTTCGATTATTCATGTCATTCTAAGGCTGCCATCAATCTGCTCTAGTGTCGTTTTATTAGGCCGTTTGGAATGCAAGAGGTAAAATAACTTTAAATTAGCCAAGTAAACACTAGAACGTAGGTTGAGAAACATAAAAACGTTGACTTTAAAGATTTCCGATACACAGACTTCAATCGCATTCCTGAACTTTCTCGCCTTTCATTTTGTTAGCTATTACGTCATACATGTATATAACCTATAACCTAGGTAACATGGAATGTTATTGCATGCGTCCAATAACAAAGGTAAAAAGGATGTTACTGTATACAACCTATATCATAGGTAACATGGAATGTTACTGAATATAACATGGGCAACATGGAATGTATAAAATCTATAACAATGTTAACATAAATAACACTCCAAGTTACTGTATACCGCCAAGAGATAAATTGGAATGTTACTGTATAATTCTCTATAACATAAGTGCCAAAAAATGATTTTGTATACAACCTCAAACATAAAAATATAACACAAGTGTCAAGGAATGTTACTGTATACAACCTCAAACATAAGAATATGGAATGTTACTGTACATAAACTATAACATAAGTGCCAAAGAATGATTCCGTATACAACCTCAAACATAAGAATATAACATAAGTGCCTAAAATTGATTCTGTATTCAACCTCAAACATAAGAATTTGGAATGTTACTATACATAACCTATAACATAAGTGCCAAAGAATGTTACAGTATATAACATCAAGCGTAGGAATATGGAATATTACTGTACATAACCTATAACATTAGTACCAAAGAATGTTACAGTATACAACCTCAAACATAAGAATATGGAATGTTACTGTACATAACCTATAACATAAGTGCCAAAGAATGTTACTGTATACAACCTCAAACATAAGAATATGGAATGTTACTGTACATAACCTATAACATAAGTGCCAAAGTATGTTACTGTATACAACCTCAAACATAAGAATATAGAATGTTACTGTACATAACCTATAACATAAGTGCCAAAGAATGTTACAGTATACAACCTCAAACATAAGAATATGGAATGTTACTGTACATAACCTATAACATAAGTGCCAAAGTATGTTAGTGTATACAACCTCATACATAAAAATATGGAATGTTACTGTACATAACCTATAACAAAAGTGCCAAAGAATGTTACAGTATATAACATCAAGCGTAGGAATATGGAATGTAACTGTACATAACCTATAACATAAGTGCCAAAGAATGTTACTGTATACAACCTCAAACATAAGAATATAGAATGTAACTGCACATAACCTAAAACATAAGTACCAAAGTATGTTACTGTATACAACCTCAAACATATGAATATGGAATATTACTGTACATTACCTATAACATAAGTGCCAAGGAATGTTACTGTATACAACCTCAATCATAAGAATATGAAATGTTACTGTACATCACCTACAACGTGAGTGCCTAAGATTGATTCTGTATACAACCTCAAACATATGAATATTGAATGTAACTGTACATAATCTATAACATAAGTGTCAAGGAATGTTACTGTATACAACCTCAAACATAAGAATATGGAATGTTACTGCACACCTATAACATAAGTGCCTAAGATTGATTCTGCATACAACATCAAACATAAGTAATATAGAATGTTACTGTATACAACCTATAGCATAAGTGTCAACTTTATCTTAGCGTCAAGGAATGTAACTGTATAATACCTATAACACATGTGTCAAGGAGTGTTACTGCATAAACCTGTACATAGGTGCTATATATTGTTACGGTGCATAACCTATAACATAAGTGCCAAATAATGTTACTGTATAAAACCTGTACATAGGTGATAATGAAGGTTACTGTATACGGGCTTAAAACATGTAACAGGTAACCTGTTCTGTCACTGTAAACATTCAAAGTGACCAGAGGATCATTTCACATGGCCGACACATGTTTCGTGAATCTATTTTGGAGATGGAGATTAACTTGTCCATTTTGGGGAAATAAGTAACAAAGCCCATTCACGTTGCTGACGTGTATTTCGAAGTCAGAATTTAGAATTCGCATCAAAACAGACAGATATAAAATCTTATAATTGTTTTAAAATTTACCTGGTGTTTTCTGGTGTTAACGGAACTGCGAGTCTCTGCCATCAACTTCTCTTGATTTTCCCTCAACTTCTTAAGTTCTTCAGTACCAGCAATACTTGCTTCCAGTCGAGCTTTCATTCTGTCTGTCTCAGTTCGTTTCAAGATGGGGACTCTTACACTTCCTGGAAGTTCGTTTAACGATCGAGAACGTCTCATCGGACTAGGCATAGCTGTAGGTTTAGGATCACTCAAATCTTCTTTAGGAATATACTGATCCAATATGGCGGCTATTTCTGGACATGAAAACTTCTGTCTGAAATTCTCCAACCTTTTAGAATTGTTGTTAGAATCAGCTGAAACATTGGAATATACCGGACCCTTTTCTCGAAGAGCCGGGTTCATTATCACATCCATTGAACGAGAAAGTCCTCTTTGAAGATTTGAATTTTTTGTGTGAGCTAATCCTCCTCTTAAAGTTGGCGAATCTCTTGAAGGATGATAAAAATTCGATGAAGAATTACCAGATTGTTTCGAAGATGTCCCGCTAGATCTGCTTTGTACGTCATTTCTACCATCCATTTTCAAAATGTCTTTGTCTGGGGGTATGGTTTTCGAGATCACATCCATTAGAACCAAAAAGCGTATCCAATGACTTTCTAGAATGCTTTACCCATAGGATCGCACATTTAAATGGTTATCACCAAAATATACACAAGAGCAAAGTGCACGACGGTTATACTCGCTCGTTGTCCACTTCCTCTTAGATAGAATGTTGGTACGAAATAGATGGCTAAAAAATTAACTTCTCCAATCCGAAGTTAAAAACACCTAAATCCACTGTAGTGGTTACGTAACGATTAAGACGTACCTTCAAACCTTACTCAAGAGTTACATTGAGTTCAAAGCAAACTTTCCAATTTTAATGTAGTGTTTTCTTACAATCCAATGTCATTTTGACACAGTAAAGTTTTAAAGTTTACCTACTAAGTATAGCCGACTGTCTATAAATCATTAGAATGTCATATATTGAACACACATTAAGCCTAATCACGATCCACACACAGCAAGTTACCTTTCCCTATTTCAATATGTATGTGAATAGTTTCGCTATGGGGTATATCATCTACAAAATAACAATTTCACACATATTTTTATTGTTAAAGTCTGTGATATACATGAGATTGTCCCTTTGTATCGTGTAACTCAAATTTTTATGATTATAGCCGCCTTGAGCATCGTTGAAAGTCTTGAAAATCATTATTGCTGTCTGTAAAATCACATGGGGGTCCTTGATCACCACAAGTAAGCATATTTGTGTCTGTTTTTGTCGTAACTTTCACAAGTCCACGATGTTCCTGAAAGTCACAGAAATTCCTTCGAATACATTGACGTTCCCAGGACACAAGACGTGATTTGCGTAATCCTTACGTTGCGTAATCTCTCTGTTGTCACAGAATCACAAATATTCTAAACCATAAGTTCCTGAAGTCACAGAAATTTCACCGAACACGGTTCCAAAGTCACAAGAAGCGATTTTAATAGACCTCACCTCTCTATGTTGTCACAGAATCACAAATCTTTTAAACCATAAGACGTTGTTTGACAACAATGTAGCTGTTTGTATTCTATCGAAAGAAAATTTCTTCTTTCAAATTCCTTTCATATGTTGTACAATATTTTGTTCAAATGGTTCAATTGTATCTACTTGAGTAATACCAAGGCGTTTTTTATCATTGGCAGATAGTAAACATTGAAGCTAACTGGTATAGGCTGAACACTTCAATACACGGTCGTTAAATACACATATACACATTTTTTCAACTTTCAAACTTGTACCCTTCATCACACTTCTGTTGACATTGTCAGGCAAAAATTTTGAACCTTTCTAAAAACGTTTAGCGAGAAATTACACTATGAACTGATATAGTCCGCCTGGATTCGTTCATCTTACACCGGTATCCAAATTACTAGATTGTCCAGACGCTTTATATCAGATGTCTGGATAAACGAATATATCAATATATTATTAACCATTTGGCAAAAATGGTCCATGTATAGGCCTTGTTAATAGTCTATAGTCTATGATAGTATACTTTGGTATACGAAGCTATAATGTCTCCGTTTCGCTCTATCGGACGAGTTGAATAACATTACTGGCTAATTTTCAATGAGTTAAGGGCCTATAATACATTAATAAAATTCTTTTAGTACAACAACCTAACCTAAACCATGCGTAATAAACACCCATTCTCTGTAATAAATCTAACGATAAGTATTTCCTTACAAGATTTTACCCAAAATAAGGCGTAAACTGCTAAGGAGTATACCGCTTTACCGCTTATCCCACTCAGCAGGACTAAGTGTACATCCTGCTTGAGATTGTACCCAGTTATCCCTGTCAGTGATGCAGGTCGCGTCTAGTCGTGGGATGGAAAATTAACAGATGCCGATGTTCTGGCAAAATGTTCCTCATTGTACACTTCATGGCGTTGCTTGTTTGCTCGATCATAATGTATATAAAAGCAGGACGTAAAACTCCATATTCTTGTGCTTTTTTTTTTTTGCTTGAGATTCCGTACAAGAATATATTGATGGATCCACTGTATCATTTAAAAAGGCCTACTTTATAAGGAAGGTACAAGAATCATTGTAATATTTTGTAGGGTTAAGTCTCTAAAATTATAAATTGTGCTCAATCTATTAATGATTTTCCACCAAAAATTGCAGGTCAAGAAATGGGTACGCCCAAGATCACGAGCTGACTTTTTGACCCCCACACCTAGCTTGGTAAAAGATAACCAATCAGTTAGAATTAATATCCTTCAATACATGTCTTTATGTTTCAATTACCTACAATCTCTTAATGGCTAGGATAATATCCCACACGTTCACACAGAAAATACTCGAAATCTACCTATTTGGTAGTAGTTGGGTGTCGCTGTCGAGGCCGGGTGTGCTAACTTTTACGGGCGTATTTTTTTGTCTACTCAGCAGTCTAGATATTCTAGAGCTAACATTGTTGTTGATTTTAGATTGAAAACTGTGATTCTTGCAATAGTAAATTTTTGTATGTTTTGGTGAGCATTTTCCAAAAAAAAGTCATCCATTTGGAATAATGCAATGTTAGAAGGCAGACGGTCAAGCTGCAGGATCAATGGGGGCATGTAGTCAACTATCGGATATTTATTCCTGCGTGCTGAATTGGTATTCCTTAAGTAACTTTATTTTATAGGATTTACATCCCACCAAAATCTCCACCTGAAATTAGCATAAATTTTCAAGCCAGTATACAGTAACTGACAAAGGTAAAAAAAGTATCATTAGATTATATTAATTAAAACCATAATATTGTTTACAATATAAAATTATATCTTCTAAAACTAACAAATATAATTTTAAAATTCATGTAATATTTTTTTTTCATTCTAAATAATTAGTTTTAAAAACATCAAAATATTTCGAAATAATTTATAACATTAAGTTATCTCCCTTCGATCGCTAATTTGAAAACTTGTATGATCGCACCATTTAGCCCCAAAGCACCCCTTTTCATTTAGACGGGCTTGGTTCTCACTTACACATTATACCATTTTCCTATCGATTTAACACATTTAATCGTTGATGTGATAAATATGCCTTCATCTACATATAGTTCGTTAACGTGCAGGTTTTCGGTTTCGTTATTTTAGTAGGTAGGTGCTGCTATTCTTTTTAATATTCCAATTGCAATATTGCAAACTGCTTGATGTTGTTGTTCGTCTTCAATACTATAAATACAGAGGTATATTATCTACAAATATTCTGAACATGCACTGTATCTCTTTTCTTGAGAATTACCACTGTCCAAGCATAATTACACTTCACTGCACACGGCATCATGACATACAAATCTTTATCGGCTTAAATTGCAGCAGACTAGTAGGACAAAAATATAAGAATGCATGTCGATACAGTCAAATACCAGTTATCTCCCATTACATGATTACCACTCTTGATTAAATTCATTCAAAGTAATGATTTTCTTAATATATGGAGAAAAAAAAAGTGGTTAAAAAAATAAACATATTATTTGATTTCCTATATACGTATTTACATTAAAACATTTAGTTTAAAAATGCTATCGGTTAAATTTGCTCTTTTATGGATTAATATGATAGATCACATTTTAAAGTTGTTATACATATCAAATCTCGTTAGATTCTGGATATTGATAAATGTAAGTAAGTATTGATTTAAATTCTGCATCAAAATTGATTCTTCAAAGAATATCTAATTCGTAAATTCATTCCGACCAAGACCGCTCGTACCCCCGCACCTTAAGTGGCTCTAACATCATAGCGATCAGCAGTTTCGAATGCTTGCGCCATAAGAATAGCGGTCATAAGTTTCGAACGCAACTCTCATGCAACTCATGACCACTTTCATTATTCGCATCTGGTATTCGTTATGGTTTGATTGCACCAATCTAATTTCAGTCCGACAGTTCAGTTCATGATGTCGCCGATTAGAGTCTTGTCTTGAGTTTCAACGACTGGCACGGGCACGCGAGGAGACAAAAATCTCCAGTCGGTCGTTTTCCACCTTGTCGATAATCACGTTGATTGGTTGAAAATACAATCTTCGGGTTGGACTATTGGTAGAAAATTTCATAGTTTACCGTAGATTTGATCCTTTACAAATACGATAATTGAATCCATTTTTGTTTAGATTGAACTTGTAGGAGTTTTAGCACCCCTAACAAAAACCGACTGGACTAAATACGATAGTTCTCAACAGACTTTATTCAACTTCGATTATAAAGTAGGTGACAAATTTTGTAAAAGGTTTTTTATAAATCATGTTATTATATTTTTTATATTCATATTTTAAATTAATCAATATAAAAAAAGCGTGTATAATTTTTATATTTTTAGATTTTGTAAGATAGATATTATATTAAAGATTATTTTGATATATTTGTATTTATCTTGTGAACTGAATTATCTCCCTTGTCAATAACCTTAAAATGTTGTTTTCAGTGGCTCAACATAGAGATCGGTTGAAATAATTCCACGGGCCTCTATCGATCGATAAGAGGAAAAATGCAGAAAATATGTTATACACTAGATAATATCAACTCGAAATAATACTGATATTATAGGTACTTCTGGGTGGTTACATAACATCTGTTTAATCACTTCAAGTGTCTCAAACATGGGGAAACTTTGATCTTATCTTGAAAATACTGGTATTCACGATAGATGTATGGACAAAGCCATGGCAGTTTCAATTTATCAAATAAGCACTTACATTAATCTAATTCAAATTACAGTTTTCTGATATTTTTGAACTACATCGTAATTTACATGGATAGCAGTTTCGACAACAAGAAACGGGTTCAACATGACCTCCTTTTGAATGGTTAAAAGTATTACCTGTGGTACAAAATTTGCTGCATGACCGGAGATACTAACCTTCTCAAATACGATACGTATATGTATCCTTTTCTATCTACTGTTATATGTACTGTTATTAAATTGGCATTTCTTTTTCAGGAGTGATAGCACCCCTTTCAAAAACTGATTAGACTAAAACGATAA